CCCCAAAACCCCAAAACCCCAAAACCCCAAAACCCCAAAACCCCATCTTAAATAAATATTTTGAAATTAAAATTTATAAAAATAAAAATGATAGAAGGGAGGCCAAGAGAAAGTTTGGTGCAATATGATAATCCAATCGAGGTATTTCATTTTACATCTAATCTAACTTATCTCAATAGGTTGGATCTGGCTATGATACAATGGAACAAGCTAAAACTAAAACCTTCGGTAAATATTGCTCTTATGGTTAATTGCCAATAATTCAAATGTTAATAAATTGTAGGCTCGAAGAAGAGTCATCTTCCACCTATTGAAGCAAAGCCATCCACTGAGGATATTCTAAATGCTATTCTTCCTCCAAGAGAGTGGGTAGAAGGCGGCAAACGTTATATTCAGTATGTCTCCCATAAGGCTCCTTCAAGAGTTGATGTTGCTTGTCTCAGAGAAATGCTCGATGAGAAATTAATGGAGAGACAAGCAAGGGAAAGTGGGATCTGTCCAGTCAGAGAAGAACTTTTCTCCCAATGTTTCGATGAAATCATCAGACAAGTCACTATCAACGAGTCCGAAAGAGGGTTGCTTTTATTGAGAGTAAGAGATGAAATCAAAATGACAATTTCTGCTTATCAGACTCTCTACCAAAGTGCTGTTACCTTTGGAATGAGGAAGCAGTTACAGGCAGAGCATGGAAAAGCTGAACTAGAAAGTAGAATTGAAGAACTTGAAGAAAGAAAAACTAAACTTCAAAATAAAGTAATTGAACTCAAAAGCAAAATTGAGGCAATTGAAAATAGAAACAAGGAAAGAAAAGAAATAGAGCAAGAAAAAAGAGAGAAAGAAATCGATTTCCTGAAATACCAAGAATCCCATCTTTCTAAATTCTTGAAGAGCCTCACTGAAAAATAAATTACTCTTGAATAAAAGCTACTCTGAAAATGCTTCAAAATATTCCATTCCTTATCAATATTTAATAATTTTTAAGGGGTTTTGGGGTTTTGGGGTTTTGGGGGTTTGGGGTTTTGGAAATGAGTTACTAATCTCCCATAGGCCATCAAGATACGAATCCTCACCACCTTAATTCTCTTCGTCCTCACACTCTTAGCCACAGCCACTGCTAAAAATTCCCCTGAAACAAGGTAAGCCAGAAGAAAATTCTAAAATGTTGACTGTAAAATTCATCAGCTGGGATTCTTGGATTTTTACAGGATTTTAATGAAATTTTTAGAGAAAGAAATGAAAGAAAAGATCAAGAAAACTTGGTAAGCTAGATTTTTGTCTGAATTTGAGGTTAATGCTTGGGGTTATAGAAGAAGCAAGACTTGGAAGAGTCCAGTTTGGAAATTTTAGGGAGTGATTGGAGGAAAGTTGGGAAATTTGATTTAGGTAAGTTTCATGAATCTCCAACCTTATCTGATACGATTAATGAAAACTTGTTATTCTTTGAACCATTGGTTGCCTCGTGACGCATGCTTATAGCCATTAATCCTCGAAGAGATTTGAGTCCTATTTGTGGAGATGGGATTATTGAGCATCCTGAAGAATGTGATGATAACAATATTTATGATAATGATGGTTGTAATAGTACATGATTTCTTGAGCCTGGCTATGAATTGAATGGCAACTCCGTCCGGGACAAATGTGGGGATGGCCTAGTCATGACCAGGGTTAACTTTACCAACTGCGATGATGGCAACCAAGTCGATGGAGATGGCTGTAGTAGTAATTGTGTTACAGAAAAAGGATATATTTGCTATAAAGGAGGAAGCAGTCAAAAAGACTCATGATATGCAATTTGCGGTGATGGAATCACGCTTGAAGTAGAGCAAGACGAGAATTTTTGTGATGATGGAAACTCATTAGAAGGTGATGGCTGCTCAAGAGATTGAAAGGTGGAAGAGGGCTACTCTTGTGAAGGAGGCGGATTGGACTCTCCTGATATTTGAAAGAAAGATTGAAAAGTAGAAAATTGAGTGAAGTGAGATTATGAGGATGAGAATAAGTGCATTGTATGCAGAGAAGATGCTATTATGAAGAATAATCAGACTTGATATAAATCACCTGTGTCTGAGAAAGCGAAGAAGATGAATCAGGCAACAATGGCAGCTTCTGGATCTGCAAGCTCTGTAGCCCTTGGCATATCTCTTCTCTCTTTATCTTCTCCAATGGCAGTTTGGGTTTTAGCAAATCAGTTTCAATTATTTTCTTTATTCTTGTTAACCAACACTGGACTTCCTCAAGATATCATCGAGTATATCAAAGGTAATGATTTGTTCTCGTTCTCAATGGACTTCATCCCTTTCAGTAGTAGCACTAAAACTAATGGTGTGATGAAAAATCTTGATAAGGCTCAAAAGGATCAGAGCCTAAAAAATATTGGGCTAAAGTCACAAAGTGCACTAATTAATATAACAGGATTGTTTATTACTATGTTCTTATTAGGCTTGCTACATCTGATCTCTTATTGCCTTCAAAGCAATTCAGAGGCTAACATTGATCCAGAGAGTACTCGAGGCAAGATAAACAAAGTTGTTGTCAAAATATATGAAGCATTTACTCTTGGAGTATACATCAGGTTTTTACTTGAAGCGTTCCAATTTATCTTGCTGAGCTCTGCATCTGAGATCAAATTCTTTGACCTTTCGAATTCCAATATGATAGCATCTCTGACATTCGCATTTGTATTATTTTGACTCACAGTAGTGTTCACAGTTTTCTCATTTAGACAGGTATTTTCTCCTTTGAAGACTGGAGAACTTGAAAGATCCAAATTGGAAGAGTTTAATACAGGTCTTAAAGATACTAATTTTTCTCGAGTTTACACTCCCTTGATCTTGCTTAGAAGATATTTCTTCATAGTATGGCTTATTTGTTGGCTAAATTCTGACCCGATCTGAATTGTATCAGGTATGATATGTTTCCAAGGTATGTATCTCTTCATCCTGTGCTTGTTAAGGCCTGCTGATGATCCAGTCAACAATCTGATCGAGATCATCAACGAATGTATATTTTCTGCTCTGCTTATAATTCTTTTGCCCATCAATTCTGCATCAGAATGGACAAATTTGATCGAATCTATATTCATCTGGATAATGGTAGGCAACACTCTGATCATCACTGTGATTTTAGTAACCTCCTTTATCTTTAAACTCAAGAAGAAATGTAATAATCTGCCAGAGAAGAACAAAATTGTGGATATTTCAGGGAAAGTTGTAAGCGAAAGTGTAAAATTTGGGCAGTTTTAGGTTAGATTTTGGGATTTTTTGGGTCTGATTGGGATAGAAAGGGGGGTTAAGGGAATTTGAGTGAGTAGGGGTGATTTTTGGGGGTATAGAGTGAGCAGAAGATGGGGAGGTATACGCCGAGTGAGGTGTCCTCGACAATGATTGGGATGAGGAGTATGAATAGGAAGGAGAAAGGACCTGTGATTATTGATTGGAAGTCGCCTGATAAGAGGATAGTTGAAAGAAGGGAAACTATTGGTCAACCTTAGGATCACACAAAGAAGCTAATAATTTAATTATCAGAACTAAATTCTCCCTCATACTTGTTTTCAACCGATCCCTTCTATTTTGGGGTTTTGGGGTTTTGGGGTTTTGGGGTTTTGGGG